CCTGTTTATTTCACCCTGATTATCAACCGTCTCTTTTCCGGTCTTTTATACTCTGAATTGTAAAGATATTGATCAATATGTTTACAAATTATACGTTGTATCCATTCGAAGGATATCGAATCTGGTTAGACCATTATTGTTGGACTTTTTTCATTCTGACTAAGCCTAAAATCATTTTAATAATCTGATTTGTGTATAAGAAACACTAAGGTGAAACATGATGATAAAAAATGCAACCCAATAATCGTCAAAATTTTAAAACTTCATCAAACTGTCATTCCGTAGGTTATTCATATCTTCTGCAAGATTATCTTTGTTACGTATTTTTGAAATATTAAAAAGCGGTTTTTGTAGACCTCTGGAAATTTGGTTACATTTAATTCATTGGTGATTCTACTTTCGTTCTTGTGCGGTATTTTTACAGATTTCTATGGATCAAAATTGGTAACTGCAGACTGCTATATAGGCACCAACTGGAGTTCACGTATCGCAATCCTAAAATATTTTTCCGGTTCTCTAATGCTATCGAAACCCGCTTGGAGTGCATTAGAAATAAGAGAAGAATTTTCGCTTGCAACGTGCACATTTATTTAAAACGATTGATTTTTCTGGTGGTTACCTGTCTAGTTGTTTACCTTTATTTAAAAAACTGAAGTTATAATTTGATTAGAATGGTTTCGCGCCTTGAACATTTTTCCTAACTGCGATTTCCTAAAAGAATCAAAAGCGTGCCCTTCGATTTCAAGCGCTATTTGAGCTTTCAGGTACCGTTTTTGACCAGACAAGTTGTTAAAAAAACTTCCAAAAACTAAGCATGGAAGTGCAGAAATAATGTATGTTTGAATTTATCTCAGTTAGATATGTTCCAGTATATTCACATCACCCACCTCTTCAAAACGTTTTATTTCTCATTATTTTATTTTTAGCCAACAATGGCTAGTATGGACGATTTTATTGAGGAATGTTTGCGGGAACACAATGCGAAGCGTGCTTTGCACAACGCTCCTGCCCTGCGTCATAGCCGTGCTCTAGACAAGACGGCACAGGATTGGGCAGAGCAACTGATATCGGAAGAACCAATTAAAAATAGCCCTCTCTCAGGCCGTGGAGAAGTCGGAGAGAGCATCAGTATGAGGACCAGTACATCTCCCCACGTTGATATTCAAGGTTTGCTATCACACAACTTCTGATCACCAGCTTTTAGGTGCCGAAGTTGTTAGCCAATGGTACGCAGATATGAAAAATTACAATTTTGAAACCGAGAAAGGACCCGCAGGTTGGTACATTCATGTTTCT